AATGCCACATTAACGCCACATAGACTGGAGATGCATCCCCAATGAGGATGAATAGCATTTCTCAGTGATAAATAGCCCCACAATATTGGAATTGGGTGACCTCATGGCACTAGCTTTCATAATTTGGTAGGAAATTGTAATCCAATCAGTGCCTTAGCGTGCGTATCATCAGCGGGAAAAGAGGGGAAATATAGTTCTTGATATCACAAAATTATATAATAACAAAAGAAAAGATTGATTAATTAATTAAAGGTAAAGTAAAATAATTCAATTTATTTTCCATTTTTATTTTCTTCTTTGCTCTTTTTCTTTTTTCCATTTTAAATTTTTTTAGTTTAGAGCGGTGATTTATTTTTCGATAAAATGAAAAATTATTAATTTAAAACGTATTTTATAATTTTACTATGCACACATATATGTATTAATCTATTAAATCAAAATACCCATACAACTTAATAAATCTTAAACATTTAGCACAATTATTAATTTAATGTTTTGACTTGGGTCTGGAAAAGATTATTATTTAAGGGATAACGATTAACGAACGTTTATTTATCTAGGTCTTCTGTAAAATAAACTATTTTCCAAGTGTGTTACTATGTAATGGAAAAATAAAAAAAAGTACAAAAAATTTAACATTTTTCAACCAATGGAGAACAACTTGCACTAACATACAACATTTGAAGACCTATAGAGTACTAATCTAGAGTAACTTATTAATATGAAGTTTGAAGAATTATGCTGAAGTGCCATAAAATGGATGATCGAAGGGGTGACCGACTCTCACATTGCGCATGGGTCCCGAGTGATAATACCCAACCCACGAGGTGTGTGTGTGTGTATTTGGTCATCCCCTATATCATCCTCTATGTTTCTGTAACGTGATTCAAGTTTGAAAACTGGGACTGCAAATTTACCAGGCAAGAACATGTGTTGATCATATAGGCAGCAAGATCATTCCAATGATAGATCAAACATTAGGGTGGTAATGGCTCGAGTTTGTTTAGAGAAATAAGCTTGACTTGTGTCAATAAACTAAGCTTAATTGGTCCTTTGGCTCGTGACCCTCGTGGACCGAATCGAACCACCCACGAGATTGTATTTTCTAAAGAAATTAATACAACAAGCTCAAAAAACGAGCTAGCTCGTGAATAAAAACAGTTTTGTGCTCGATCCATGACTCGTATCAAAACGAGCATTAACCATCCATAGACTCAAGGGTGGGGCTAGGAAATTCTTTTAGTGTGGGCACAATTGAATAGACTTCGAACTTTTTAATAATGATAAAACTAAAATAATATTACAAAAATATTAAAAATGACGTAATTTATAAGTCACACATGTTCTTTAAAAGTTTTCATACTTTAATATCGTTGTACAATAACTTTATTATCAATTTGCAAAAATCATCTTATTCAAAAAATTGGATTTCTATGCTAGGTGTATTACCTTTTTGTCTTGTAGAATCTTATTCAAAAAAAGAATAACAAAATTTTATACTAGAAGGTATTGTATTTTTGTCTTACAAAAAATTTGAATATCTCGTTGTTACATAGAAACTTTTTCAATTCATAGATGCATTCCATTGAAATTGGGAAGATAAAATTTTGATTAGTCATATTGCAAGTGTCTATTGCACTTGTCTTTAGCATACTAATTCAACAAATAGACAAGTGCACACAAACTTTAGCATACTAATTCAACAAACTTTGGTCCATTCCACCATTGCATTCCAAATATGGGGCTCTCAAAATAAATAAATAAAGGAATGGGCGTGAGCCCAAAGTTCAGTGCGGGCAATGGATCATATGGGACTGTGTCCCTGCATAGGCCGAACTTGAACGGGAAGAGCACACGAGCTGCTTGACCCCGTTTGCCGCCACTATCAAACATGCATAACAATTGAAATCATTCAGAATCCAACCAAAATCTATGGGTTTTTTTTCATGTCAACCCTATAGCTGTACAAGTTGAAGAAAATCAAGTAATGGGAACTTAGATTTATAAATTCTTAGTTTAGATTGTCTGTTTCTTATGCATTATTAATTTGCAAATGATATGTGGTACTTAACTCCCAACCTTCATTCTATTATATTACTGTAGTGCTTGTGCACTCCTTTTTGGGTAGTATGGCAGCCAGGCTAACTTCACTTGTTTTATTATGAAGACAACTTATTGGATATATAGAAATTGATAGATTTTTGTGCATTTCTCTTTTTCAATCATGTTGAGTCGAGCATAATAAATCATGACATATAGGTAGTTAGTTGACGTGTTTATCATTGTGAGGCCGAGAAACTAGTTGATTGATAAAATAAGCTTAGAAGTTACATGAACTAATATATGTGAGAAAATTGTATTTTCACATTTTCATTATATGCATATATAAAGTATATGATTATACCTATTAGATTGAAGCCTTTGATATAGCTATTTTTTTTTTTTAGAAATAGATTGACTAAGGCCCTGTTTGAAATGCCTTTTTTTCTAGGAAAGTTGGAAAATGAATTCCATTTTCCCACATTTGGTTTGTTTGATTGCTATTATTTTCTTGGTAAATCCCTCCTCCCCTCTCACGCGCCCATTTGCCTGGTTTTTAGGGAATTTGATTTCCCACCTTTTTGGTGGGAAACCTAATTCCACCTTTTCCATTTTTTTATTTTTATTTTTAACAATGAAAACAAATGTCATAAACAATT